TTTTTTTTTTTTTTTTTTTTTTTTTTTTTTTTTTTTTTTTTTTTTTTTTTTTTTTTTTTGCGTCTTCCATGCTCTATAAACTATCATATGTAAAAAATCTTCCCCGTATTTCAAGCAATGAATAATCATTTTTCTGACTGTTCCTAATTTAAATGGGCAGACTTGCTCCAAAAAATCTATCTTGAAATTATGAAGGAAATGTGGACAGATTCTAACTTGAGGCTTCTCTTGGTATCTCAACAGATTTGTAGAGCTCTTGCCTACATTCATGGAGGAATAGGAGTATGCCATAGGGACATTAAGCCACAGAATCTACTGGTTTGGTTTAAAAACTTTATGATTTTTTTGTTCTTGTGGTTATTTGAAAGCTACTTGCTGATAAGGTTGTTGTTCAGGTTAATCCACATACTCATCAGGTCAAGCTGTGCGATTTTGGAAGTGCAAAAGTTCTGGTAGGGTCTTCTTTTGAGTCTGATCTCTCGACAATGCAGATATTCTTTTTAGTAGTGGGTCTATTATGTTGCTTCTATTCGTCATTTTTGTGCATAATGCTTATTTTGCTTCCTTTTCACTCATTATTATCAGGTGAAAGGCGAGCCAAATATATCATATATTTGTTCTCGTTATTATCGAGCACCCGAACTAATATTCGGGGCTACTGAATACACTACCGCAATTGATATATGGTCTGCAGGCTGTGTTCTTGCTGAGTTACTTCTTGGACAGGTACTTCTTTCTCATTCTTTGCAAAGCAGGGAAGGATCAGAAGATTCTCTGTTCCTCCCGTCCTGTCTCTTCTCTCTCTCTCTTACTGGCTTGCTTAAATCTTGTAGCCTCTCTTTCCTGGTGAGAGTGGCGTCGATCAGCTGGTCGAAATAATCAAGGTTAATTACCTGACTTTATTCTTAAGAGAATAAGTTGCCATTTCATGAACTACAGTTTCCTTTTAGTTGAAATGCTCTCTTTGTAATAGGTACTTGGGACTCCTACCCGTGAAGAAATTAAATGTATGAACCCAAATTATACTGAGTTTAAGTTCCCACAAATCAAGGCTCATCCCTGGCACAAGGTAAGTTAAGTACATTTGTTTTCAAAATGCATCACTTATTTTTTATGTTTTCGGTTTGCCAATCTTCTTTTCCCTTGCAGATATTTCACAAGCGCATGCCACCAGAAGCAGTGGATCTTGTCTCAAGACTCCTCCAGTATTCTCCAAATCTTAGGTGCACTGCTGTGAGTGTTTTCCTTTCCTTATGCGCTACCTCCTTCTCACGTATCTTCACGATTAATGATGAGAAATTGTTATCTGCTACTTATATGTATTTTTCAATGAAAACAGTTAGAGGCTTGTATCCATCCCTTCTTTGATGAACTCCGGGATCCCAATACTCGTCTTCCGAATGGGCGCCCCCTGCCTCCGCTCTTCAACTTCAAACCCCAAGGTTTTATTTCTTCCTTGTCAATTTATTATTGGTCTGTTCATACATCTGTTTGCAATGATGTAGTTCGTACTCCTTGAAATATAACAATGTTTTAACTAATAACTTATATGCCTAAATATCTTAAAGTGAAGGAAATTGACGGACCTCTTAGAATCCAAAAACAATGACGGTTCGAGCCTCGTTTGATAATCCTTTGGTTTTTTGAAATTTAAGCTTTTAAACATCACTTCGACCCATGGAGTTCTTTGTTTTGTTATCTACCCGGAATGTTTCAACATCCCATCTAAGTTTTAAAAACTAGAAAAAGTAGTTTTAGAAAACTTGTTCCTTTTTTTAGAATTTAGCCAAAAAATTGAATTTTTCTTTAGGGAAAGAAGAGAAACTATTGTAAAGAAATTGTGAGTTACAATCTCAGTTCTAAAAATCTAAAAACACAAAAAATCAAATAGTTATGAAATGAGACTTAAAACTTTTTTTGACCTTTATTAGCATAAGAATTTCCGCTTCATGCACTGAATTGATGCATTCTCATTGAAACTACATGAACTAAATCAGTAATGAAACAAAAATGTAGTATCAGAGTGAAAAGTTGAACAATGACAATGTTACCGGAACTGTAAGTGCAGAAGTATATATACACATATATATGTGTGTATATATATCTTTTAAGCTATTATGAACATCTAAAGATTTTCTGCATTATGTTATTGAATATGGTGTGTTGGCATGAGATCTGCAGAGCTGAAAGGCGCAACTTTGGAGCTTCTCTCTAAACTCATTCCAGAACATGCTCGTAAGCAGTGCTCTTTCCTTGATTTTTAGATCAAAATGCGAAGTAAATGATATTTTCCTCGTCAGACAGGTATGAAAATCCTTGAAAATGTAACTGTATGTCTGTGAACATCAATTGTAATGCATTTTTATTAGAAAAAAATTTTATGGAGGATTAACGCTGCTTGTTGATGTGGGTCGAATGTTGGCTATTGAAATAACTGTTCACTAGGATTATGACTTTTCTGTCTTAAAAATGATTAGACTGCTGGCCTATATTTGAATGATGTATCGCTTCATCGAGTATAAGGTGGCTCGTGCAGGTAGATTGATTTATTTTGAATGGTAAGGAACGACCTACCGATCTATCAAACTTGGGATGACTATGATTATCATTATTGAAGGTTTACTAATGAACTCTAGAAACCATCTTTCTTTTACGACCAAATCAACCAAACTTAGTCGACCGCAACGTGTGGCATGTATTGATTGTGCTGGAGGAACTTTTATTGATTAAATTGATCCACAAAGTTAGATCCTTAAACTTTTGTGATCGAAGTGTCGAACGACATCTGAAAGTCATTTTTTAGCAGGAATCTATGGGAATGCCAACTGTTCTTTTGTTTTTGGTTGTTCAAAGATGTTTGGGAACTAGGATGAAAATTAATTTTGCACTTGTGATTTGGTATTGGATGTCTTCCCTATTTTTATTACTTTTTTTTATGTTTAAATATTATTTTGGTTGGATGTATAGTAAGAATTGCTACTAGTTTTATGAATGTTGAATTATGCTCAATCTTAAATTTGTTATTAGTTTCTTTAGAAATGCTTTACGAGATAAATTTCTTTTAAGCTAACGTGTCTCTCTCGTATGAATGCATGCTAGTTGTCGTTTAATACGTCAAAGTGAGCTTAATTTATTGTATTGAGTTACGTATTCTTTCTTTTGATGTTATAAGTATAAATTTTCATATCGTTCCTTTATAGAAATAAATAATAATAATTATAATAAAGGCATAAAAAAAAAATTAAGCTTGTTTTCAAAAAAAAATTGTGGTGTAAATTTATAACATTTAAAAATGTATTTTAGGTAAATGTTCAAATACTTTCAAAATTTTATTTCAACTCGATAAAGCTAATGTTTTAACGTTAAATGTACGCAACCTTCCAATACCCTTGCCAATATGAAGATATGTCTCGATTAATAACAAAATATGTTAAAGAATTGTAGATGTTGGATGATAAAAGTCCCACATCGGTTAATTTAGGGAATGGTTATGGATTTATAATCTAAGAATACACTCTCCATTGGGATGAGGTTTTTTGGGAAGCCCAAAGCAAAGCCATGAGAGCTTATGTTCAAAGTGGACAATATCATATCATTGTGGAGAGTCATTTTCGTCTAACAGTAGAATTTGAAGTCTCTTGAAAATGTAACTAATTGGAAATTTTTTTTGTGATTTAAAAAAAATATATGTTATTGGGTTGGGTTCAGTTGTGACCGTCTCGAACTCATTTACATGTTATTATTTGAATATTTGCCTTATATTTTCAAACGTGGTTGTGTTTGAGTTTTTTTTTATATACAAAAAAACACCAAAACCTATCATTATTATAAAAAAAAATTATTAATTTCACATTTTTACTTATTTTTATCAAATCAAAGTCCCAAAAGCTAAAAAAAGACATAAATTATGACAATAACCGTCATTTTCTTTAAAAACTCGAGTAATAGAACTAAATAATTCTTATAAACAATTATTATCGAATTTTTAATGTATGATTAAAAATAATTTTAACAATTTTTTTTTTTTTTTGAAAGTTTATAATCCTCAAATCATATTTTTATATAATTTAACTAATTTAGTATAAAAATAAGTAAAAAAAACATTTTTACATATTTTCCCTTAATTTTTTCCAATAATTAAAATATCTACTACATTCAAATATTTTAAAATTGGGTCGAACCCATTATCTAATAATAATATATGACGAGACAATTTACGATCCGAACAATTAAATTATAATGTCAAAAAATCTGACAATATAAAGTTGACCGACCTGACCCACCATAAACAGCTTTTAAGTAATAAAAAATATTTTAAATAATAAAATAATTATCAAACAAAACCCTAATCCAATTCAACTCAATCTGGATGAGTTTGTTGTACTTCACCATAGTTAGGAAGTGAAACTGAAGTAGGCCAATCCCAATATTCTCCACGGCGGAAGACCTCAAAATCTCCTCTCCTTTGATCGACGGTATTATAAATGATTCTCTGATTCTCTCCGGCGGCCATCTCTCCGCGCTTCTTCACTTTTAGAAGCGTGGTAGAGAGATTTTGCATTACTATCACAGCATTTTCTGCGTTTCATTTCTCTCAGGTACGACTTTTTTCTCCAATGTTCGTTTCCGAATTCTCTAGATCTAGAAAATTTGTGCTGTTCGACGGTCTTGTAGTTTGTATGCTTCGATTGCTCGTAGAAATTACGAAGGAGGATTGGATTGGATTGATTTTGCATGTGAGATTTCGAAGTCTTTTGAGTGATTTGAATGATCGGATGCTTGTGAAATGGGGCTCGTATCGTACTCATATTGTTTGTCGGTTCTTTTCATTGATTTCCATCGAAAACTGGACGTTTGATCGGTTAGGGCTGGGGAGGGAAGACGAAGAAGTGTTCTTAGGGAGAATAGGGAAAAAAAAGTGTAATAAAAAGAGTTTTTTATTTATTATATTAATTTTATTTATTTTTTATATAATTAACTTAATTAAAAATAATTTATATCAAGGGTATATTTAAATTTTTTGATGTTTCAAATAGTTGGATGAATTCATGGGTTTAAAAGTATATATTTTTACTTAAAATAAATCATATTTTCATATATCTTTTTTTAATTTATAATTACTTTTTGATGATTTACTCTCTAAAAGTTCTTGGAGGTACTAATATTATTTCAATGTTTGACAATAAATATTTGAAATACTAAGATTTTTGCTCTAATATAACTAAAAAACTAAAAGTAAGTTGGTTAGTTTATGAAAATTAAGCTTATAAACATTACTTTTGCCTATGAGTTCTTTGTTTAGGTGTGAAAATTAAAAAATTTAAGCCCCATTTGACGACCCTTTGGTTTTTTGTTTTTGAAAATTAAGTTTAAAACACTATTTTTACGCTCGGTCTAGTTTTGTAAACTAAAAAAGTTTTGTTTTTGGAATTTGACTAAGAATTCAAACACGTAAAAATCATGATACAAAAATTATAGGAAAGCGAGCATAAATTTCAAAAACTAAAACGAAAAAAAAAAAAGGTTATCAAATGGGGTCATAATTTTTAAAAACGTGTTTTCGTTTTAAGAATTTTACTAACAATTTAAACCGTTATGAAAACCATAGTAGAAAATTGCGAGAAAGCAAACATAGATTTCAAAGAGAGAGAACTAAAACTGAGAGCTCATTTTGATAATCATTTGGTTTTTGGTTTTTGGACATTGGAGTTGTTTTCTCATCAATTCTCTACAATGAGTTCATCTTTCTTAACAACGCGTTTTTCGACTTCCTATTCATTTGATGCCCGTATCTCTTGCCTATTTTTTGTTGTGTTAGTTTGCAGCTTAAAGGCTCATCTACCACCAAATCATTTCTACCAGAATATAAGAATGGTACGTTTTCTCAACTTTGTCGAAGAAGTTTAGATGTATTACATACTCAAAACACAGTGTGGGAGACATGGCTTGTACGAGTATATATACGCAGTTATATTTATTTTTTTCTGTTTGGTTTACTTTGTCCGTTATTTTGTCGATGTGTAGGCTGGTGACAATTGTGGTGTTGAAGTTGATAACATTGACTGGGACACTGAAGATGAGCTTGAAATTGAGAGTATACCTTTAGCCTCTCATGCGAGTTTGACATTTCCTAGTGTTGAGGCAAATATGGTATGTCATGTCTACATTTGTAAGGAAGCTTGCGTGTGTTGCGTCTTTCCGTGATTGATCGGTGGTAATTTACTGTGTTCGATGATGCTGAACTGTATGGATAAAGTAATATGGCGCATGTTATCTTTATGACTAAATAATTATCAAGCTAGTATGTCGTTTTGTTCGATTTCAACACCGTGATATGGCGCGTGATATTATCGTTTTAGCTTAGATGAAAGTATTGGATTTTGTTGCATAAATAACTCTACTCTATTTTTTCCCCTACGAAGGCAAGCTCATCTGCAGGTCCCTCCAACTCTAAGATAGTTGATCATTTTATAGGAATGGGATTTTCTGCAAAAATGGTCATGAAAGCTATCGAGGAAAATGGTAACGTTATTTGTTTATTTAATAATCTTTTAAGAAAAGAAACATGATTTTTGTTTATTGTGGAAAAAAAAAAAGTGCCTGCTTAATTTTGTTGATGGACTATCCAGGAGAGGAAAATACTAATTCTATACTCGAGACCCTCCTCACATTGTCGGTGAGTTTCTCCGATGATGACGTGCTAATTCATCAAAGTTAGTTTATTGTGTAATTGTTTTGTTTATACGTGATATGTTCGTTCCCCGTCAAAAGACTGTAGTCGATGTAAGTGAATGTCTCACGTGTATCATATCATGCAATGGAAACATGTGAACTTTCATATTTTCTTGGCCTAATGAACTGGATTTCAATTGTTTAGGAAATTGTCGAGATCTCAACCAGTTGTTTCATAAGATACTCAAAGATCTTCGAATAGAACTAGAAGTCAATATATTGAATTAATTTCTTCCTCCTCTGGCAGGCTCTTGAAAACTCTCCTCCAAAGCAGCAGCATGTTGATACTGATGAGTCCTTTTCGGAATATGAAGGAAGCTTTCTGGATGATTTTACTGATCTAGACAGTGATTCTGAAAATGAGGTTGTTAGATTTTCTTCGGTTTCATACTAATTTTGTGAACATGTCTTTGCAACTCAGTATTTCATGATACTTTGGTCCATCATGTAGGGGCCTGCAAAACCTGTATCTGATGTTGACAACAAATTGATATTCTTGGTGGACATGGGGTACTCCGAAGATGAAGCTAATGCAGCAATAGAGAGATGTGGTTAGTACCTCTCTGTAGGCTTTTTAAATCTATAATATCTAAGCATGACGTCTCTAGGTTCTAAAATTAGTTGCATTTTTCTAGCAAAGCTTTGCTTTTGGGATTCTTCCCAGATGTAATCTTGAATGATTTCTATGGGATAAGAAGATTAACTCTTCGTCATGCTTTGTGTTATTGTTGGGGACGTGTTGTTTAAGATTTGGTAGGAGAAAACCTT